TGTGTGTGTGTGTGTGTGTGTGTGTGTGTGATGCCAAGGATTGAACCCAGGGACACTTATATTCCCAGCCCTTTTTATTTTTTATTTTGAGTCAGGGTCTCCCTAACTTGCCTCAAACTTGTAATCCTTCTGCCTCAGCATTCCCAGGTTCTGGGGTTATAGGTGTGCACTACCGTGCTTGGCATGGAAACCCTCTTTCTGTGAGCCTGTGCCTATCCATTTTGGGATCCAGCCAGCCTCCAGAGCAGGGGAGATGTTAGGAAAAATGCTTCTGAGACGCTACTGAGTGGCCTCTGCATTCCAGATCTGAACTGTGTCCTTGTATGTCTTTGGGTTCCTTCCATCCTGCCAGTTGAAAACATCTTCCCAGACATAGCAAGTCACTGGTAAATCCTTAAAGCCAAAACAAAGGAAAGAAATGCAAAATACCAATGGACAGTGTCCAGCTGCTGTGGCAGCATTCTGAGCGTGGAACTTCCTGCCCCCATAGGGAAGCATTTACAGACTGAGGTGCCAATCTGTAAAACCTCAGCTTTCATCCAGGGGTATGGCTGTGTTGCTTGTCTGGCTTAGAGAGTTAGAGGCCTGTACTTCATCTAGATTCTAAGCCATGATAATTTGGCTTCAGTTTGGAAAAGCTACAACAGGGCTATGACTCTAAATTCTACCTCATCAGCTTGGCTGTCGAGCATGGCTGAGCTGAGTGAGTCTAGATCCCTTTGTGGCCACAAGGCCAATGCTGCAGCTGGTATATTGGCCATCTGGCATCTGGGTGACACTGAGAGTTGACAGATGCTCCCTCTGGTCTGACAGCCAGCACCTCTGGGAGTCAGGCACGAGGAAGGCCTTGGTATTTAAGGTGGCAAGAATCCAAGAAGCTCAAGAAGCTGTCCAAGGCTCTGCTCCAGGAATCTACCTCTACTGTATGTGAGGCTAATGTATCTGGCTGGCCACCTTCACCTGCTGCCTCTGTCTTGCCTCAGGCATCTCTTGGTATCCTGGCCTAGATGCATTAACTCAGACTGCTGGAGAAAGGCCTGGGCTTCCTCTCCCTTGCATGTATCCCCTTTGAGATGTGCACCCTCAATGCTGCCCTGATGGGTGCCCCAAGGGCCCAATGCCTTCAGCTCCACTCAGCACTCCTTGCCCTGTTCCCCCTGGTTTGCAGCTAAGACCCGGGCTCACTGCTCTGGGGAAAGTTTACTGTTATAACAGCCAAAAACATTTCACCTGCATTTTCTAACCAAACATCCCTGAGGAAGAGCCATGACATTCTTCATAACACATCTGAGGAACTGAAGACCAGGTTGATTCAATAGGTCATCCAAGGCCAGCCAGGTGGGTGAGCATAGCACAAGTCCACACCCAGGTGTGAGTGTATGCCTATGCCTGTGTGTGTGTGTGTGTGTGTGTGTGTGTGTGTGCTCGTGTATGTGTGTGATTGCTTTGAAATTCAGAATAGCTCCCACTCCAACAGACTCTGAACTGTAATTATAGGCTTCTGGCACTCTTACTATTTTTCTCTGTTGTGAAGTTAAATGTAGGCAATTTGGCCTGAAATTAAGGAGAAAACTTTTAACATAAGTTCTTAGCACAAGTAAAGTTCTGGAGGCTCAAATGGGGCTTTTGAACCAAGGGGCACTTTACAACTAAGCTACTTCCCCAGCCCTTTTTGTTTTTGAGACAGGATCTCTCTAAGTGGCTTAGGCTGTGCTCCAACCTGGATCCTCCTGCCTCAGTCTCCCAAGTCAGGGGGATTACAGGCGTGTACTACCATGCATGGCTGTTACCTTTCTTACCATATTCTATGTTGTTCTTTTCACCACCATATTCTGACCTTGATTGGCAACCTGAGAGAATGCTTGAGTGTGTGTTTTTTTTTTTTTGTTTTTGTTTTTCCGGCAAATTACAGGGGGAACAGGGCAGATCCTGTGACTCTCCCAGAGCTAGATGGGAGTCTAGCACTGGTCTCCACTCTGCCTGTGTCTTCTGTTCCATCAGTCCTGGAAACAAGATCCTCCCCATTTTTCAGAAGAAGAAACAGGCATGGAGAGGTAAGACAACTGGTGCACAATCAGACAGCTCATCCATGGCAGAACATAGATTGGAACTCAGGGCATCTGGTTACAGAACCCAAGCTTATTGTTACTACCAAATTCCTGACATTCTGAATTTATTGTAAATCACGTTGTTGTCTCTCAGCATCAGCCAAAAACTTTTTTTTTTCTCCTTCTTCCTTGAGCCAGAAAAAAAGTCCCACATTTTGTAACAGCTGTGGCAGCACAGCCCTGCTACCACCTACTGAGAACATCTGGCCTGGTTTGGGACAAGCACTTCCAGTGAACTTGGCAGGCAGGGGTCTTGGGTCTTTCCTGTCACACTTGCATTTCATAGATCCTCACCACAGTCCTAAATGTTTGATGTCATTTTACCACTTGACTGAGGAAGAAACTGAAGTTCAGGGAGGTTAAGTAAATTGCCCAAGGTTTCACAGCTGGAAAATTGTGAATCAAACCCTGGAACCTGGGCCCTTGTAGACAGGGCTCAGCAAATCTTGCGGTCTCCTCTGCACTCAGTGGGGGGGTTTAAATCAGAGCATTGAGACCACAGAGACAACAGGCATTCTTTTATAACAGAAGAGCACACTGAATAGAACCGAAAGTAGCTCTTCAGTGACATGCTGACAGCTCTCCTCATCTTCCCCTCACCACACACCTCATGGTGAGAGTTATTTTGCTTGGTTTAAAGTAGGGGTCACAATCTCAATTGTCTACAGGGGCCAGCAGGCAGTGAGATAAGTGACAGCAACCCAGGGAATAGACAGTAGCAGGCCCAGTTGACACTGGAGAGTGTGCATGGGCTAGCCAGGCAGCTGCGACTGCTCCAACCCATGTTGTTCTACAGTAAGGAGGGACTGTTGCTGCCAACAGTCCTGTTTTTCAAGAGGAGCCAGAAATCCAGCTGTTCATGCAGAGTCTCAGCATTTAAATGATGGAAACAAATTCAAGTGCTCTTTAGACACCGTTTGATTTTTATAGTATTGAAAATTAAACACAGGGGTGCTTTACCCCTGAGCTACAACCCAGTTCCCTTTTAATTCTTTCTTTCTTCTTCTTCTTCTTCTTCTTTTTTTTTTTTTTTTTTTTTAGCCAGGTGAGGTGGTGCACACCTGTAATCACAGAGGTTTGGGAGGTTGGGGCAGAAGGATCACAAGTTCAAAGCTAGCCTCAGCAACTTTACTAGGCCTTAAGCAACTTAGCCAGACCTTGCTCAAAAATAAAAAGGGCTGGGGATGTGGCTCAGTGGTTAAATGCCCCTGGGTTCAATCCCCTGTTTTGAGATAGGGTCTTGGTAAATTGCCCAAGCTGAGCTTGAACTTTGCAATCCTCCTGCCTTGGCCTCCTGAGTTTCTGGGATTACAGGTGTGTACCACCACACTCAGTTTTACACACTTTTTAAGTCAAATAAAACACATCTGGTCAGTTGATTCAGCTTGCAGCATTCCTTTTTGTGACTTCCAGTTGTAAAGTTTATAGAGGATATAAGTAAAGTTATTTAGGATAGTTTATATGAGTATAAAATTATCAATTTAGTGTAAAAATTATTAGCAAATGTTTTTTTCAACATCCTATTAGGAAAAAAAATCTGGCATCTGGATTTAGCCTGTGATAGGCTTGTAAAACTAGTTCATTTAGAGTAGGGCCAGTTTAGTGCACAAATTATCTGTGAAAAATCAAGATAAGCTTCTGGCATATATGCCAGTTTCCTGGTGAAGGTCTTTCTCACAGCACCAGATCTGAAAGATTCTTGGTGAAACAGAAAGAAAGGAGCCCATGGCTGCTACCACCTCCAGTCAGCCCAGCAGTTGTCACAGCCAAGATCTTGGCATAACACCCTGGTCTGCATTCATAGATCTGTCGTGCCACATCCCTGGATTTCATTCTCCTTCCTGTCTGGTGAGTGACCTGCTAGTAACTGATAAAATCTGAGCTAAGGATGGTTCAACCTCTAGTGGAGACTAAATGTCTAGATCCAAACATTCTTGCATGAGGTACTCACCAACAGGCCATTGGAGCCATGGACGGTGACACAGCGGGAGAAGGTGTGGTGAATGGAAAGATCCCTGATGTAGGTGGGTGGGTCATAGCCTCCTTTTTCATCCACATCTCCAGCCAGGTGGAAGTGAATCGGGTACTGACCCACCAGTTGCTGCCCCATGTGCTTTAGCTCCACGCCCTCCATGTGTGCTGCTTTAAACCCCAGTGCAAGCTGGAAGTGGAGAGGGAGAGGAAAGGGTGAGTCAGAAGAAGCCCTGAGGAGCTTCCAGACAATGCAAATGTCTAGTGACAAACCCTAGAGTGCTTTGTCAATTCCTGCCTGGGTAAGTCAAAGATGTTCTGTGCATATTGGTTAGGATGCCTGCCTCTTCTTACAGAAAGGGAGACAAGAAAGGCATTACTAATGATTGAGAATATTACAAAACAATGCACTGCTTGGATTTGAGAAGCCCTAAGGAGTTGTGCAATACCTGGGACTGCTCTGCTCTGCCTTTCCTTCCCTGCCTCCTGAGCCACCAAATATTATGAAAAAGGGATAATCCTGGGATATCCTGGTGGAGCTGGCAGATAGTATGCCCTACCAGTTTGGGGAATGAATATGGAGGACCATCGGGCGGGGTGGTAAGAGCCTCCCCATGCCCACCATTTGAGACCCTCTCCCAACAGAGAGGGTTGGGGATGTTGATTATGGAAACTTCATGGATCTCCCCCTTATTGGCATGTGGGGAGTAGTGGGAGCTCACATGCTCTCTTCACAGTATGCTCAGAGCCACTCAAGGGGAATCCCTTGACCACACAGATACCCAGAGTTCCAGAAGCTCATAGAGAGAGCACAGTCTGAAAGTGATTTCTCTCAGAAGTTGGGCTCAGCCAACTTCCAGGAAAGGAAGATAATTCTGACATGCCTACCATTTGTCCACAAAATAGGTGTCTACAGGTATCCCAACTCCAGTGGTGGATCCCTGGGAAAGCTGTGTTGAGAATGATCCTGAGGACTAGTTTGGGCTCAGTGGGCAAGAGTGCCCTGATCACTCAGAATCACTCTCAGTATTGGAAAAAGAGTTGCAGCAGCTTGAATAATAGACCTGCTATTTCTGCTGTGGTCTCACTAAAGAGTTTCCCACCCTGTCCCCAGAAAAGGACTGGAAATGCATAGAAGTAATGCTAAAAAGCACTATTAGCATTTAATGAATAGGAGCCAGTGATTCTAGAAATGCTGTAACATAGGCCTGCATGACACTGAATTGTCTCATGTAAAATACCAGCAGGGTCCCTCCCCATTGCCAACTCTAAGTTTCACTTCATTAGCCTCTTCAATTAGATACCAAAAATCTTATCCTTAAAGCACCTTCAAGAGAACCATCTTCACAAAACTCCAAGATAATACATGCTATCAACATTGGCATCGATGACCACAAGAAGAAATTTCCATATTTTGCACTATTTAATAGGCCCAGTAAAGGCATTTTGTATAGAGATGCAAAAGAAATTTCTCTTGATACTAGATCCTGAGCTCCAAGGAACGAGCACAACTTTTGTTTATTGCACAGTGAGAGCCCTGCAGCTCAGTAGGTCTGTCTGACCTTGGCTCTTTACCAGAAAATCTCAGCTATAATTGCTGCCACTTCTAGTTCCACTCCCCTGCTTATTGTTTTGTCTGTGCTGTAATGGATCTATTGTAACCATGACTTTTTTTCAGGACATGATCAGGTTAAATAACGAAGCTAGGAAGGTAGCAATGATGAGCAGGGAAAGCCGTGTTTCCTGTGGTCTCTAGGAGAGAACCATTCCCAAGGTGGCTCCAAAACCTGTCTGTTCTCCAGTACTGAAAGGTGCAACATCACAGCAGTGGAAAAGACATGAAACTTCTCCAACTCCCAGGAGCTGCACTTCCTTTGATTCTAATTCCTGTTTCTCCATCCCCTTCCAAAAAGTTTCTACCTATAGGCCAACACCTTGGAAATTCTCCTGGTGGGGTTGACAGCCTCAGCCAGGCAAAGCCATACCTTAATGTGGCCCCCAAAGGTATCAAAGTCAAAGAAGTTGCAGATGTGCTTGCTGTAGGGGTAGCATTTGTCCTCCATCTCTCCCATTACCACAATGTTCCGGCTCAGGAGCCCGACCTCTGCTCGCATGTCCACACCGTCCATCTCCTCCCCAATATGTAGGTACAACGGCTTTCCTAGGGCAGAAGGGGAGAAAGGGGACCAGCAGGTACTGAGTGTGTGCTTACTGGTTTCTGGGCCCCTTCCAGGTGCTCCATGACTGTAGCTTATTCATACCAGGCCATGGTGGTCCCCCAAGACCCCCAGTCCTGTTTTAAAGAAGAATGAAGCCCGGAGAGGTGAAGTCATGTACCCAAATATAGAGCAAAGATCGACAATTATATATGCTTAGTCCTGTCCATGGCTAATTGTTCCCTAATATTTATCCCCTTTTCTGTTTTTTAGTATTTGACTGTCCTGCATTTTAGCTGGCACATGGCTACCTATAGGAACTATATTTCCAAGACTCCCTGAAGTTAAGTGTGGCCACAGGATGTGAGGAGAAGTACCGAGTACAACTTCCAGGTTGCCCCCCAACTTGCTAGAAGGTACATGGGCCCTAATGGGCTATTGCCACCCAACTGATGAGAACCATGCCCTAGAGATAGCAGAACAAAAGAGAGAAGAAATCTAGTCTCTGGGTGATCCTACAAAGCTCACACCCTAGAAAGTGCCTACGAGCTGGGATTCTTAAGAAGACAGAAAAACTCTACTTAATTCCCCTGCTGTAGGGCAGTGCAAATCTGTATCCTGCCTTCCTCAACCTCACATAGGTATGGATCTATACCTTGATGTTGTAGAAAGAGCCACCTCCCAGCTTCTGTGCCTACCACATTGGGGTGCCACAGTGGCACTACATGAAATAGTGGAGATCTTCTACTTCACTCTGTACTGACCTAGTCTTCTCCCCTCCAGTCTTGGAGAGGATACTTTTTCCCTGTACTGCTGATCCTAGCCCTACCTCCTCCCATAGTCTGAAGATCCTTATCTCCCCCAGTTCACCTCTTTAAGTAGCTTCATTTCTTTCTCCATTTGGGCTTCATATGCTCTATTCTCCAACTTCTCTAACAGACAGGAATGGGGATGTAGCTCAGTGGCAGAGCACTTGCTTCACATGCACAAGACCCTGGGTTCATCCCTGGTACTGCAACCACCACCACTACACCACCAATAACAACAACAAAAACAACTAAGAGACAAAAGACCTCACTAATATCCTTCCAGCAATTGTCAGTCTCTGTTCTGCTATGGCCAGAGTCCTTGAACTGATGGTCTGTATCTCACCCACAGTTTTCTCTCTACTTTCTCCTACCACACCACTCATTCTCTTGCCAAATATACTGTTTCCCTCCATCTCCTCTTCTTTCATCTGTGTTGAAAATATATCTTTACTCATTATGTCCCACCATCCTATATAGAGGACATCTACAAAAACTTAAATTGAGCAATTTTATAGCTGTCCTGTAACATTTTATAGGTCTTGTAGAGTGGCAACAGTTCAAGCTTTGGAAGTGTCTTTAATTTGCAGCCCCAAATTCTTCCTCCACAACAATCCCAAATTCTTTTCTGGAATAAAGAGATGTTTAGCCTGGCTCTAAATTTGGCCCTTCACTAAGATTGCTGACCTGGCTTGTAGACACTTCATCTTCCATCTGAGGGTGTAATTACAAAAAGCATCAAGCTCTCATGTGAAGTCTCAGCCTGAACCATACCACCTACACCACTTGGCTTTCACTATGACCTTGACTGGAGCAAAGTAGCACTTGCCTCAGCCCAAGATACAGCCAGTGCCCACATGTGAAAGCCATGCTTATAATTAGCTATGAGCAGCACCCACCATGATGACCTTCCTGTGCTCCCTCAACCACAGGAAGAGCTGAGCCCTGCCCACCCCTTCACCTGGCACACATCCTATGCGCCTGTAGTATTGCTAAGGATGTGGATGGTTTTAGAATTCTGCAGACTCAGTGAGATGGTGGTTTCTTTGAACCATTTTAGTTCAAGATGTGAAATAGATGCATGATGAAACTCAGAAAATATCTCCATGACAGTTGGTATTAGTTTCCTATCACTGCTGTAATAAATTATCATAGATTTAGTAGCTTAAAACAACACAGATTTCTTACAGTTCTCAAGGTCAGAAGTCTAAAATGAGTCTGATGGGGTCAAAATCAAGGTGTTGGCAGGGCTGGTTGTTTGTGGAGGCTTCAGGGGGAAATCTGTTCTCTGCCTTTTTCATATTTTGGTGGCTGTCTGTACTCCTTCTTCACACACACATCACTCCTGTATTTGCTCTTGTCATCACATCATTTTCTTCCTTCTGGCCCTCCTTTGTCACTCTTATATAATGACACTTATAATTACATTGGGCTACCCAGATAATCCAGGACAATCTCTTCCAGAAAGCCTTCATGTGATCCACTGGCAAAGTTCCTTGTGCTGTATGAGGCGACATTCATAGGTACTGAGGATTAGGATGAGAACATTCTGGGGACTATTATTTGGACTACCACAGAGTCGTTATTAAAAAAGAGTCTCAGGCCAAATGCAGTGGCACATGTCTATAATCCCAGCACCTCCTGAGTTTGAAGCAGGAGGATCACAAGTTCAAGGCTAGCCTCAGCAACTTAATGAAGTCCTAAGTAACTTAGTGAGACCCTATTTCAAAAAACAAAAACAAACAAAAACTAAAAGGTCTCAGGATGCAACTCAGTGGTTAAGTGACCCTGGCTGGGTTCAATCCCCAGTACCAATCAATCAATCAACCTCAGATAGTAAATCAAATTTTCTTTACTGTAACAAATACCTAAGATAATCATCTTAGAAAGAGGAAAGGTTTGTTTTGATTAAAAGTTACAGAGGTTTCAGTCCATGACCGATTAGCCCTGTTGATTTGGGCCTATGGTAGCACTGTACATCATGGTGGCACTGTGTAGCAAGGAAAACTGGCCAGGAATGAAACAGAGAAAGGATGACACCACAATCCCCTTGAGGTCATTACCCCCAGTTTCCTAAAACCTCCCATTAGGCCCCACCTCCTAAGGGTTCCAAACAACACCAAGTGGAAGACCAACCCTTCAACACCTGAGCTTTTGAGGGACATTAAAGATCCAAACTATAGTAGGCATTATAAAAATTAGCATCACAAAAAATCTATTTACTCTATCCCCTGAGACATCAGAGGTCAAAGGTCCCTGCCACCAAAGAGGTCAGGAGAGGACACCATGCATGGGGACTGGCAAGTGTTCTGTTCCACCAGGGTTTTGACTTCAAGAAAGAAGAGAGTTTGAAACAGGTTAGCTCTGCAGATTGCTGGCCCCGGTTCCTTCAGTACATCCCACTGCTACTACTGGGTCTGGGTCATGCAATCAGGTGTCTTATTTTTAAGGTCCAAAAGCAAGTTCCCTCTGGGCACCCCTGTGGAAGCCAGTCCTTCTTTCTATCCTGGTTTACCCTTGCCTGTGGGCTCTGTGGCTTCACAAGCACATCAGTTACAGGACCTTCCCAGGCATGGGGACAGAGTCTCTTCCAGAATGAGCTCTGCACTGGTTTCTGAATGACCACCAGCTTGGTAGAGCCTGACAGAAGGCTGTGCCTGGAGTGTGCCTGGAGCCTGGCGGATGGCTGATGAGGAGAGAGACAAGTCCAGCAGAGGATGTACCAAAAATCGGTTATAATTGTATTTAATCATGGAGAATCAAAATCAGAGAGCTTTCCACCATTTTTAAGACAACTTCCTAGTTTCCAATTTGAGGAAATGGAAGATCAGATGGTACTCAGGGCTTGGTTGAGAAAGTTTCCAGGAGTTTCTCTGAGCATCGCCAGTCAAGCTGTTCCTTGGAGTATCTGCTAATAAAGATCCTACATGAGGGGAGCCATGGTGTTTAGAATAACAGGATCTGCTGGAGAGTCCAGAGGAGAATGTATGGGATGTGACTGTCACCAGAGGACTGTTTCCTTTAACCACCAAACTCTGGCTCTGGAGCTAAGTGAGTGCTGTGAGCCTGGACCCTTCCCAGGGTCCAGGTCAAAGGTCTGTGCCCTGCCAAAGAGGTCAGGAGAGGACACCATACATGGGTACTGGCAGGCCTTCTGTTCCACCCGGGTTTTGACTTCAAGAAAGAAGAAAATTTGAAACAGGTTAGCTTCCATTCTGTGAC